TTCTGTCTCTGAATAATTTTGGAAGTTCTCAGAGATGGTGTCATGTGAAGTGTTGACTAGCGGTAGATATTTTCCCACTTTTCCTTTCCATGATATTCTGTCAAAAGAGCTGTAATATTGTTCCTCTACAAAAAAGAATGACTGTAAAAGCGCTTTCATGCAAACCTCGTTCAGATTTCGAGACCATGTTTGGGGCTGCTGTGATATTGTTGTAATGAAAAGAGCACTATGTCTAATTTGAGCCCTCATGGTCCTACACCTGGATGTGCTGCACCTGGACTTTCTCATCCCTCCACTTCCTGTTGTGCTACCACATTTAGTCCAACTTCACAATTCATTGCGCCATCAGAAAGTGAGTATGTGCTCTATAACAACATCAGCTGACCCTGGATCATCTGTTCCCTTATGTATTTACTGGTATATAGAAACAGGTGTTTTTTTTGTTTGTTTTATGTTCATATGTGGATGTAAAATAAAAATTAAGTCATAATTTATCCAAGCTGTGAGCTTGCAATTTTATTAATTTTATTGCAAGTACAATTAAAGAACCTTTTATAGAGATATGTATATACAGTACAAATCGTTTAGTCTTTCTAGTCTTTTTTCGAATGTTTGTGTCTACTGCTTACTGTTAAATAATGGCGAAACAAAACCTATTTCTATTGGATTGTCTGCAATGGCTGCAATAAAATATGCAAAAAAATGTGATCCATTAAAAAAGTATTTGAGGACAACAATATACGTAATCAATGGCAGTTCACTGCAGCCACAGATTGTACGATGGTTTATTTTAGCTCAGACCCAGGATTTGGTTGTTGGTGTGCAACCGAATTCAAAAGACCGCTTTCACACTAATCCAGTAAACAATTTTACACTGCACACAAGCACTTACAAGCTGTTAGGTTAAGGATTCCATAGGTTGGTGCTCTCATAACTGCAAGAAATATAACACAGACTTGTGAGTGCATTATAAGAACCGTGGTCCATCGTTCAGGCACACGGTGTTGGCTGGCCCACTGAGGCGCTATAAATAGCAGTCATCAATATCTTCTTCTCAACCTCCTCACGTTCCCAATCCACTCAGGACGGCTCCTCTAATGGCATTAAATTTTCAAAAGAGCTGAGTCCACTGCGCCTCTCCGTGCCCACATCCGCCCAACAGGAGAGCAAAGGAGAGAGCGATGGAACGAGAAGAAAGAGTCACAGTGAAAGAACGAAAGACTCAGACGTGGTCGAATGTGGTTTAAAACTGAATATGCACGTTTTTAAAAATGGAGATTGAATGTAGGCTGTGGAGAGATGGGGACATGTAGATGTGGTCGGTGTCCATATAGACTAATTCTCTACTCTGTTGTGAATAATGCATTAGCACTTTAATCATCCTCCACTGCTGCCCGCCGTGCCACGCCACTGTCATGGTGGTCTGAACAGTGCCCGTTGTGGCCCCTCCATCAGTGCCCTCTGCCCTGACCTGGGACGTTTAGCTGTGTCAGGCAAACGCGTCATCGCAAGAGATCCTGACCCTCGCCTCTGCCTACAACTTGTCCTAGTCTAATCGATTACTCCTGAGCACACGAGATAATGCGACACACACACACGGTTACACACGTTCGGCTCGTCTCCTGTCCGCTGACCCCGATGACCTTTTCTGCTTTTGAGAGATGTCGGTTCGCTGCTGTCTGTGACCTCGCGGTGGACACTAGTTAAATATACTGTTACTAAGGAGAATTAATAACATTCAAAAGATGGCACTTTGAGTTTTTTTTTTTGCATTTACAGCTGATGAGTCATCATGGTCCACTATTCGTCCAATTACTGACTAGTCAACAAGGTAGTTATCTATCATTTTTTTTCCTCTGTCTGTACAATTTCAAAAGAGTGTCTTCTTTTTTTCCCCGTTCTTCTTTTGAATATTTATTTCTCTTCTTTTATTTCTTAGTGTTGTTGGTATTGGTCCAATAAGTAAATTAGGTCAATATACAGTATTTAAGCCAGGAAATTATATGATAGACAAATTATCATCAGACTCCAAATTCATAGGTGGTCTACCAGTTAAAATAAGATTTTTTTTTATGTATGTGATGTATACATTTTGTTTCCTCCTGTTGTGTTTTTTTTTTTAACCATTTTATTTATTTATTTTTTCTAAGTGCTAATAAAATATGCACTAATGTGCCTTTATGTGTTTGTTGTCCCTGTAGGAAAGCGGCTGCAGGAGTGGATCTGTGTGATTCTGTGCCTCTCGCTCTTTGTTATAAACCTCTCCTTCCTCTTCCTCAACTTCTCCACAGTGCACATCTACAAAATCATCTTTGGCATTGGTAAGTCTTATTCTTTGTGACCTTTCTGTTCATGTCTTTCCTTTGTTTTCTAATAAAGTTCTGCTGTCATTATCTCCACAGAAACCATTGGTTGTAGTGCACTTTTTTTTCCATGTCATGGTCTCATGGTCACTTTTATTTCAGTATTGACTGAATTTAACAGCTTCTTTCTTTCTCTCAAAGTAACTGGTATTGTGACAGCAGACTTTGCCTCTGGGATGGTACATTGGGGAGCCGATACATGGGGTTCAGTGGACATACCAGTAATTGGGAAGGTAAGAACCAAGGCCTATGCATAGTTCAGTATGTATGGCATAACTATCGCTATACTATATGAATGTGATTGGCTGTAGGTGTGTGGGCACATTTAGGTACAATGGCATCATTTTCTGGCACACATGCATTTCCCACACACTCATATGCACAGTGTGGTCTCTAAGCGTAGTATCTTGTTTGATTTTAACAAATTACTCGGTTTAATTTTCATATCAACTTTTGCTCTATTGGCCTGTTATGGTTTACCAGGCTCAACAAAATGGCGAGTGTGAAATGCCATCTCCACCCTGGGGAGTTCAGCCCTTCCTGCTTTCCTGGAGCGCCACATCTTAACCCCACCCACTCTCAACCCCAAAGGGTGCTGGGAATACTCAGGAGGGTTGCATTAATGCATAGTACGGTCACACTCTCCTTGCCCAATCAGAGAGAAGGTCACCCCCTCGCTGTCCAATTAAAAAGCAGCCGACACTTGCTTTCTGTGTCGGACAAGTAGGGGCCATGAATCTGGGAGCATTTATGTGTTTTTGTGCTGACAGGGGTCGTTGTGCTATTGTGTGGACGGGGGCAGTAGACTGGCAGTAGAAAAATAGCTGACCTAAGCTAAATCTGGTCCCGTGTGCCAATTATTAGGCTACTTCTGGAAATATGGACTGTTATATTTGATTACAGTGAAAGGAAATAACAAGTATACAGGTTTAGCAATGATCAGAATACACTTGACAATGAGTGTGGCCATGAAATTTTCACAGTTTTAGGCCTGTCCTTTGAGTAACACCAATCTTTTCTATTTCCTATTCTCTGGCTGATGTGTGCTCTATAGAGATGGGGTCCTAAAGGACTGGGTGGTATGATGCTTTATACTGTGCAAGTCCAAATAGTCTGCTATAGCATTTATACCTTAATATGATTTGATGTGGTGATTATGTATATAAAAAAATGAAAGGAGATCATCTAATTTTATATATTTACATTGAGTCTAAATAAATAAATAAACAACAAAACAAAAATCAGTCTGTTTAGGCTTCGCAGCAATATAATGTATAGTATGAAAAATTGACAGATGTATCACTTATTACACAAATTTTCACCACATAAATAATAATGGGGACATGAAATATTGATTTGAGAAGTATCCATTTTAAAATCTTGCCTGTTTATCTTATAATCCATTACAGTGTGCACAACAATCATTTTAACAACAAGACAAGCACTTCAATAATATTAGCATTACTGTAGGCCTACTATTAATCCTGAAGTACATCAGTTTCATTTTACAATAAATACAGTGGATAACTGAGGCGCAAGATGGCAGCAGCTGTGTTTGAATGAAACGAGAGAGCGTGTTCGTAGTGTGATACAAGACACGTGTAAGGACCGCCGGTTACGGCTGGGAATCGATTCCAAAAAAATAATCAATTTCAAGGCTTTGGGAATCAAGGTTGGAATCGGTTCCTTCAAGGGGAATCAACTCCTCTGTAAGAGCCTTTTTTAAATTTCAGAGCTAATCATTAATTTGCCTCGCTAATAGTGATTGGAAGCCTGATTAATTTTCGTGAACAAATTCGTTCGTTTTGATGAAATCGTTTCAGAAAAATGATGCAGCAGGTCTTTTACTCCATTGCGTAATCTGTCTGGAATAGATTCCAAAAATATCTGAATCAAACAGCCCTAGCCACAAATACCTGGACGAGCGGTCATTATACAACATTGGTATTGACAATTGTCATTGTGATGAATAACTGACTTTAGAATGTCCTGACTGACCAATAATAATCAAGCATTTCTGAGGGCTGTGTAATAAATTTTCAATATTGACTGATCATTTACAATTCTTTAATGTTGTCCATTATGGTACCGATATATATCATGGTTTTAGTCATACTGCCCACTCCTTATGCCCTGCTTCTATGAAGGTTTACATGCTGGTCATTGAGGCCCTGAGTTGTCCTTCATGGCCAGTTCTTTGAGGCCGAGAGCAGGATTGTAGAGAGCAGGTCATCTGAACAGCCCGTCCAGCTCCAGCTGTGGGTCAGGCCGAAGGGCCCGCATTCTCTCGCTTTCATCATCGTCTGTCTGTGATATAAAACGGCTCAGCCCCACCGTGAAGGGGTTTCCACCCGGCTCCGCAGCCACTGCCGATCCTTCTGCTGTCGAGGATAATTAGGATCTGCCACCTGGGAGTGATCGAACTTTAAAAAAAAAAAAAAAAAAAGCGAGGGAATTTACAGACATCCAGAACGCTGAGCTTTAAGACCCTTAACCAGCAGATTAAAGGCGGCACTTAGCGGACCGATATATATGGCTTTTTGTCCACATGTTCAAACAAGAAGCACCAACTTGAGGGAGAATCATTAATGACCGTGATTAAACAGGCACTTAAGAGCAAAGAGCTTAGGGAGGAGGAAAAAAGGCTAGAGAAATTAAATGGATCTCATGTGTGCTCTGGGTTAAGGGTGGGGGAGGACGGGCTCCGGTCTTTGGCTGGGTTGCTAGGGCAATCCGAAGGTGTGAGTCATGATTAGGCAGAAGGCGGATGAGGCGAGGCGAGGCAAGGCAGGCCGTTAAACGGTGTGGGATTAGCGACGGCGAGGCACAGGTTTGTGCCGGTGAGTCGACAGGCACGCCGTGTGCTGTCTTGGGTTTAGCGCTCTTTTAATCTCGCGCACAGAGAGACGGAAAGGAAACGAGGAGAACAGGAGGGA